CTATTACTATTATTAATATTAATATTATTATTATTATTATTATTATTATTATTATCATTGGGTGTTGGTTACATAAGTGAAACGAAACATCTATCAAAAAGCTCTAAAATTGCATTGTGCACTCTTTATTTTTATCACGGATTGTTCGTTGTGTTCCCGTTCCGCTTCTTCTTCATAATTCACATTCCATTCGCCCTAACCGATCCAAATTATTCCGTTTACTATACCGGAAATAATGAATGCATTGCAATACGAAGAAGAATTCGACAAAAAACTACTCAACAACATTTATGGCGTGAGATAATTGAACGCGTGTGAGATAAACATGATGCACAATTGTGATTCACTCGCGTCAGTGCAAAATGCAATAGATGAGATAGATGAATGTTTGTCAAGTTGCACATCTCAAAAAAATGATTTCAGAAAACAACGTTCAGTCGATCGTTTCAGATCTTCCAATTATCACTTCCTTTTTGTTGCGTTATCGTATTTTTGGTTCGGTTGTTGGCTTAGTGAAACCATGCAACTTTCTTTCATTTTGTTACAATATTCGGAAGGCGAGTATAATTCACATGCTTAGAGAGAATGGCAAACTTACTTCACGATTACTCACGGTTCTGTCTTAATGTAGCTAAAACCTGAAGATCACTTCCAATTTAGGGACCGCCTAAATTCGGCGTTCGATTGATGCGAAAAATCAGAGGTGCTAATATCAGATATTTTTTGGAATTAAACATTACGTTCAGTTGTTTTTTTCTTCAGTGCATTTGCAATCAATTTACATTTGTCATTTTATCAATGCATGTCGTGATTTGTTTCTATAAGCGACAGAAATTGTGAACATGCTACAAAATTCCTTTTCATGCTCTGCGGTGACGATCTTTGATGTAGTTATCCGCAGGAACGAGAAATTTTCTACAGCAACATTTTCGTTATTAACAGATTAGTTAAATGATTGAATGGGTGTGAGAAATAAGTACATTTATAAATTATTCAGTGGTCGTTCTTGTTGCTTCTGTAATAACTCAAAACTCGAAAGATGAAGCAGGAGGTGCATAAATAGACTTCAGAAAGTGGATGATATTCAAAAAAGAGCTGAATGAAAATTCTTCACTCGTTTGCATAGTTCTCTTCTTCCATTTACATTGTTTGAAAAGGACTCCGGCTGCTGAAGGTGATAGCGGGATACACTGGAGGAATTTTTGTTGCTCTTTTGAAATGATTAAACGAATTTTGAATGAAACGGAGGTGAGATTGCTTAGAAACCGTAACGTTTTGGATGTTTTGTTGTTTTTGTTCGTATCGAAATACTGAAGGGTTAGGTAAATGCTTGCTCTTGTCGTTGCATCCATTTGGAACAAGTGTTCTTGCTTGATGGCCGATTGGCTTGTTCGTTTGTTTGAAAATTTATCCACTGCAGTGGTCGTCATAGAGGGAAATTCTCTCTAGGGAAATTCGAGGGTGTCAGGAGAAGATTGAGGATGTTGGCAAATCGTTGTTGATTGATTTTTTAAAATTTTATTCCTTAGTTGCCCGATGATTGCCAGAAGGGGGGTTGATGAGGGAATTGCTGTCACATTGATTGTCAGAGGGGTGGAGTGACTCTCTGGCACACAACCGAGGGGGACACTGATCTTATACTCATGCATCAAATGCTGATCGAATGAATCACGCACGCCTCTTAATTTCTTCGGTGGTGGTAATGGTGCAAGCAACAACGTGTTTTGCATCTGCGTACAGACCAGTGGAATGGATTAATTTCATTAGCCAAAACGAGTTTATTCTTAATGCTAACGCCTAAAACATATAAATCATCTGCGCAGTTTTTCTGTGTAAAAAGTTTAGCATAATTATGAATGAATTAATAAATGAGATCATTGAGCGAATATCATCTCTAATAGTTCTGCTCTAATGATAAATTTGCTTAAATATAAATTTGAAATCCATTCGACACTGCGAACAATTTCGGTATTCAACTAATTTCTTGCAGGCTAATAAAAATGCGAAACGAGTATTCGTTGAATCACAGCAGAGCCAGCCGTCCAAGGAGCAACAAATGCAAACGCTTTCCTATAATCCTTATGCATATTGGCCCTATTACGGGCGAGCCTAAGAAGACCAACGGCAGCCAAATGTCAGCAACGTTAAGTCGAGCGATCATTCATCCCAACAACATAACCACAATGTCAATCCCCTTTCCAACCACGTTAATTATCACAACAATGTTTATTGCTATTCATCAAATTAAATCCAATTCTTCTGATATTACGTTTTTGTTGTTCATACAGTCGTGCGTCCTCATTGATTGCTCATTATCAAGTGAAATTACTGAACCTCATATCAACGAAATATATTATTATAATAATCAGATACATTTTATTGCTTCGCTATTTTCTCTTCTTTATTGGTTCTCTATACGAAGAGAATGTAACAAATAAGAAAGTTCGATCGAACTTTCATTATTATGCATGTGTGCGCATATGTGAATAAACAGTATTATTCTTATTATTATAAAATATCTAAATAAATAAATAAATGAATAAATCATTTTGCACAAAGGCAACTTTTTTGCTTCAGTAGAATTGCGAAACCCTGATAGCTTTTTGTAACCTTCGTTATCATTACCACATGAAAATACCTCCTCATTGTTCTCCTCTTAAAAACCAATTTCAAGGAAAATTCAATTCAAGGCCTACAGTTCAAGGATTGCAGCTGATTATGTGCTTTGCACCATGCGATTGATCATGATCATGATGCATCTTCGATGTTCCTTTTCATTTGTTGTAATAAACGAAAATCTGAAATGGTTATCCACATAGTTATCTTTGCTGTGAGCACAACGAGGATGCACGACTGTTGTTTTTCGTTTCGTTCTTTTTTTCGCTCCGACTGAACTTTAAATGATGTTACAGTGCGAGTTGTATGATGTATATGTGAATATATATGCCTGAAACGAGTGTTGATGAGCTGGTAGTATTTGCAGAGGACTCGAAGAGAACCTTCGAAGATTCTGCTTATGCTCTATGTGCTACTTTACTGCTGCTTACATGCCTTTTTCGTTGCTTTTAAAGTAGCCGAAGCCTTTTGCCTTTCTCACTTTTGCATTCTGCCATTTTTCGTTTGAATGAAACAAGAAAAAAGTGAATCAATCGTTCATTGATGCGTTTAAACATTCTGCGACTGCCAACTGCCAATCGTTTATTTTCACTTAATCATTATTTTATTTGTGTTTGTGATACTTTTTAGGTGTTTTTTATTCGTTTCGTTTCATTCAAGATACGTTTATGCAAACAATTCAATATATTAATTTGCCGCTTAAAGCTTGCATCAACAAAGTCGTCGATTCAGTCCAGCATTGTACCGTTGAGTTATTCTCAACTAGGACGCTTCCCTCACTAGAGAATCAAAAGTAGACAGGCAACACTTGTTTCTGTGATGAAAATTTGCTTTAAGAATCGTCCGTTGATAAAAATTGAAAGGCTTTCTTTAGCAAGTCGAGTTTGTGAGCAGCATCAGCACTCGATTAATCTTCAGATGCTGAGCAATTAAATCACTTGCAAATATGAGTTGTGTGAAGTCAACTATGAGTCATTCAGGCTTCTTGGAGCCAAAACAAATATTTTTATGTCAGAAACTATCTATATTCGATAAGAAACTACATTTCTCATAACTATATACCTTTTATCGCAAGCAAATAAACTTTGATGGATAACAACACAGACTAATATTTCACTTCGAATGATCATCATCATTCGTTTCGGCAATTCCATGAATATGACAGCAATGAAAATCAGCACGAGTTATGTATACAAATGATTACTGTTGAAAGATTTCATGAATTTTGTATTGTCATTATTTCATATTTCATTTTCACGTCAAGTATAATAGTTCGTTGTAGTAAGGCAGAAACAGACATCAATCGTTTATAAACGTCGAGCGTATTTTACATCAATGCTCATGTAATCGCATCAACGAATCAACGCAGTTCCGTGGCTGCATGAATAATGCCCTTTGATTTCAGTCTTCGTTGATCAGTCAACAGTGATGCGAATATCAAGACTGATGCATTCTTGAAAATTTTCGCTCAAATAAGAGTTCTGTTTGTTCTGTTGCTTCCTTAGCAGTTTACTTCCAACTGCTTCTTTAGCAGTTCTGTTAAATGTCAGAACAAGCCTAAATACGGTGAAAATGGACGGTGCTGATGAATATATGAAAATCTTATCGCCATAGCAATTTTCATGGACTCCAATAGGTTTTATTATGGTGTAGTTTATCGTCACAGCTTGCGTACAGACTTTCGATTGAGTTCGAGAGATACTAGGTGGAGTATTGTAAAAATATTGAAGTTTTCATTGAAATTTGCCAATATCTTAACATGTGTCTATGCTACCTATCATATATTCTCAGATGTTCAGAAAACAATCTGTTTAGCTAATTGATGACCCAATAGTAGAAGATTGTGAACATGAATACAATGCCCTTATGGGCCTCCAGGGAAGCGTTTAGAAGCAAAAAGGAATGAGAATTAAATTTCTCGTTTACATCGGCATTCGATCTCAATTGTCAAAACTTTATCGTTCAGGTTAGTAGCTCATCCAGTGGATTTCACTAAATTTGAATTTTTCTTTCGAATTTCACTTTTCCGGAAGTGTGAATATTAAAGTTCTGTCAAGTTTTGCAATCTATCTGCACTATGTGTGTATCGCGATGTTTATCCTCCGAATAGTAATATTCAAACTTTTGATTCTGAATCATAATGAACTGAAGAGAATCTTATGAGTGAATATGGGAAACAGGTGCATTGAAGGATTTCGAAAAATATTCAGCGTATAACTTTGAGAAGTTATGTAAGTTTGATTAGAAAAGACACGATGTAAGATGATAGCGGCAATTTACACTTGACTTTTGATGAGCTCACTTAATAACAGTAGTGAGTCTGATAGTTCTCAATTAGAATGTACGCAACATGAAGATTATTCAACTGGTCACAATGGTGGAACATTTCTTATTCTTCTAATTTAGTTCATTATTCATCCTGACCATTGGAGGGTTGACGAAGACCGCTAGTCTAGTCAAATTTTCTGAAAAAAAAAACTGAAAAATGCTCTAAGAAAATGCATTAGCATGCTAAGAGATGCGTTTGCGGACTCAACTGCTAACTGATAGATGAAGTGGTTTTTAGGAACTGCAATGTCGACGAAATATTTCGTATGAATTCAACCGAAGACATAGTTTGAGTAATAGGCGTAAGCTGCCAATCGTCAATGAACGTATCGCCAGTGTGTGGTCCAAGCCATGAGTTCAGCCTTAGATTGAGCGGTGGTAGTTTGACCTTTGTTTCAGTTGAAGAAACGACCACAACTTTATATGCTAATGGGCGTTGATGTTTTCAAAGTATTTGATAGTGGTAAGTAAGGTAGTGAGGAAAATGTGGGCATGAGTAGTAAGCAAGCAACTCTGGGCAGGCTCGCTCGGAGATTGCTGCTAACTCATCACCGGTAATAAGAATATGATGAAAAGCAAATTGAAGCATTAAACAAGTCCATCCAATCAGGATATCCTTTCATGTTTCTGGGCTGAACTCTGTTCCGAAGTTTCTCTTAAACACATCTGCATTACCATTTAATATTACTGCTCTAATTTAACCTTATTTCCATTCGAATGTGTGATTCTACCTTTTAAAGAAATCGTTATATCTATGAGCAAGCATCGGTTTACATATCTGATCTTTTTTTCATAGAATTGCAGTAGAATCAGCGATTGAGATCTGTTAAGCCTGAAGCGCACATAAACATACCTACTGTTTGTAGGTTTTCAAAATTTATGTAGTTGGACCTGAAATAATTCTTTAACTGTAGCTGTAATCAAAATATGAAAAATTTTCCAACTTTTACTGATATGAATACAACACGTGCTTAGTACAATTTTAAAATGCAGTTAGCTATTGTATATAATATGCGTTAATACTGGCCTAATGAAAGGATCTTTTCGGTAACATAGTAGAAGAACGAAAAGAAGAAGAATGTACACTTTATGGATTTATTATTGATAAAGAAGCAGTAGTTATTTGGTTGGTTAGCAAACAGCAAATGGATATGCAAAGTGTGGTCAAATCTCAGTGGGACATTGTTATGTCTTTCTGAGTGGATTTAGCTGAGTAGAAAAATGTGACCCATGGGATTGGGATCGACGATAAGATAATGCAAGAGCAATCCGATTCAAACAAATTCACGCCATCCAAATATTTGGTGTTATTTGGTGAGGGCGGTCTCATTGTGTCAATTCCCGACGGGTTGAAGCACCAACCAAACTGATGCATGCATACACTATATATTCAAAAGCTAATCTGAATATATGAAGAATGTGAATATCTAAGAGAGTATGTGTTTATGCATGTATGCTTTGTGATGTCGAATCGAGCAGTCAGTATTCGATCAAGCCAGTAAACTAAATGCCCTCAATTCAGTTAGTTCCCTCTCTAAATCTTTCTTGATTGCCAAATGAAACAACTAAATTTGTGATGTGTCTAAATTTGCGTCGGTCCAAGCCCATATACTCGTCCTCGGAAGCAGCACCAGTAACGACTAGCATTGCTTGACTACTTCGCTAATTCAAGCGTCGTCCACTCATGCGCCTTTCATTGGTATATCCATCCATCCATCCATCCACACACATTCATATGCAAACATTTATTCAGATAACACGAATGAAAGCAAAGATTTGTTTGTGTCGTCTGCTGCATGTATCCAATCAGCCATAGATTTAAGTCTGTTCTATATACACCAGCATCTAACCGCTATTTCCAAAAGTCGAACTTATTGCTACTACTTGTCACTTGCTGCTAGGCTCATTATTGTTCCGACAAATTTCTCGCCTCCATCCGCTTCACAAACTCGTCTTCATCCGTCCGGCCTTCCCAAATTTGCTGTTTCTACTACTGCCGTTGCTTCATTCATCCGGCCTCGCATAATAAGTCGTCGATGTGCCGCCAGCCCACTCCTTACTCTGTTCGTTTCTTCATCCTCTTGCCCCGTTCGTTTTGCTTATTCATCTCCTCATTTTTATACGTACAAATGTCATTCCAACAGATTCGTCACACGCACTCGGTAGGTA